TGATGCTGCAGCATTTTGTGACCTTCCCATCGCCTGTATACAGCCCTTAGTCCAGTTATCACCTTGAGGGTCACAACTCCCAACTCAGGTTGAGCAACCCATACTCAGTAAGCCAGTTAAAAAAAAGAGTCAAGTTAAGGGCGTGAGGCAGAGGAAGGCAGTTTATTCAATGTCACCACACGGGGAGAGGGGTGAAGACATTCAGTAACATCCATGAGTCCTTCGGGGTCATGAAGTGAGGTCCCAGTCTAAATAGAGGGTTAGGAATATGTATATCTAGGCAGTCCTGGTCAAGATGTGGCCCCACCCACCACGGACCCAGCCTTGTCTGGGCTTGAGTTTCATCCTGTACACTGGTCTCATGATTTGTCAAAAGTGTGTGGAACCTTTCTCCAAGAGATAAATTTCCCTTCTGGCTGGTGCCGGTTCCTTCATCTACCAGGAGCTTCCTGGGAAATTCTCATTTCTCTGGCTGGAGTCCGTTGTTTCAACACTCTGATAGTTGGACTGAGAGACACATGTCCCTTCAGAGTGCCGGCATCTCTGCCAGATCATTCACAGTCCCTCAGAAGAACTCCCGCACGGACTGCACACAATGAAGAACTCCCTGCATGGACTATACGCACTGTCATGCAGAGATTCCATCAGCCCAGAACCAGCAGGGGCAGAAGTTGGGTTTGTGTGTGTTTGTCTCACATGCTAATACATTAATTATCCTGCCTATAGTCTCGATAACTGACAATCTATTGAATTAGCAATACTGGAAGTGAGACCTGGATCTTCGCAGTATTTTGCGAGACTGACGTTTCCAGAGGAGCTGATCCTTTGGGATGAGAATGCTTCCTGGTTAGGGGCTGGAGGGATGACTTCCTGGGTTAGGTACATGCTACTTTTTCAGAGGACCTGAGCTCTGTTCCAAGCCTGGTTCCCTGCTCGCAGGCCAGCTTCTCACGTTCAGATCTTCAGGTGGAGAATCTGACCTGACGTCTTCCTGAGGACACACCGGCTCCCACATGCACATTCGTCACCCTGCCTACAGCTAAAGATGACAATAAATCTAGTCTCACTTCTAAATGTGATTCTTTTATACTTTCAGACAGGCAGGATAGTGAGACAGAGATTGTCTTAGAGCCCAGGTGGCAGGGACACCGGCGTTAGAATGAGATTCCAGCCTGATTTGGTATCCGAATGCCTTTAGTAAGTTACTTATGCTCTCAGTGATAAAGTTTCCTTAGCCATAGACTGGAGATAAGGGTGGTCTTGCCTACCGTGTGACCTCAGGAGAGATGATGAAGGCTTGACACGTTACACAAGCACATGGCTTTGTACCAGGAACACTCATCACCAGCCATAAGGACCAAGGGGCCACAGTTTTACCTCTGGGGACCGCAGATCCAGGCACTGCCATTTGCTCACAGATAAAATGAAGAAATAGAATTTTGCTCCCAGGAAGGAAAGCCTCAGAGATATCCTGAAGGTGCATTGTTTGTCAGTCCCCAGAGACACCAGCAAGTGAGGGATGGAGATTCTGAGAGAACAGGGGAAGGTAACGTAGCCCTTGAACTTTTCAAAATCATGATGGATTGTGACAAAACCAAATGAAACAAAAGCTGTCAGTTCGAGCACAAGCCTGTGGCCATCACAGTGAAGCAAACTACCATCTGAGGGAGACATTAAAACCTAAACCTCTGAGCTGGAGAGATGGCTCAGCGGTTAAGAGCACTGACTGCTCTTCCAGAGGTCCTGAGTTCAATTCCCAGCAACCACATGGTGGCTCACAAGCATCTGTAATGGGATCTGATGCCCTCTTCTGGTGTGTCTGAAGACAGAGACAGTGTACTCATATACATAAAATAAACAAAGCCCAAAACAAACCTAAACCTCTCTGCTCAAATTGGTTATTCAATATGCACAAGACGACCCACAGCACTGTTGATTTTAAAAACCAAACAAATCACCCGCCCCTCTTAGCTCCCACTTGCCTTATGACAGATAGAACATGCTCAGCAACAGAGACTACCTGAGAGGTCAGAACATGGGGGGCACCAGGCTGTGAGGAACAGGCAGACTGTCATGTCTCACTGTATGGGCCAGAGTGCTCACACATTAAGGCTACGGTGCTGTTTCCAACCTTAAACCAAGGGATGATGCCAAGCCAGGGGGGTAAGAGCACAGAGACATGGGAACAAACAGACCTGCAGAAAGACACGGCTATGCCTTGTCCTTGGCTTTTAGAGGAATCACTTAAAGCCACAGAAAACTGCCTGGCTTAGCTACATTTCTATTGCTGTGATTACAATCCATGACCAATCAGTTACAAAAGAGGTGTTTATTTGGGCTTACAGTTTCAGAGGGTCAGAGCCCACGGCCATCAGTAAGCAGCGTGGCTGCAGGTAGGCATGGCTTGGGAGTAGCAGTTGAGAACTACTGGAGAGACAACCCTGAGGCCGAAAGAGGAAAGCGGGCCTGATGTGGGCTTTTGAAATCTCAAAGCCAGTGACTTAATACCTTCTCCACCAGGGTCTGTCAGAAGCCATCTAGGAAAGGCTGTTTTCTGGAGATGGTCCACTATTTTGTAAGATTGTGAAGGGTAAACTCTGAGAATGCAGGGTCCTTACAGCCTTCATCCCAGGACTGCTTCTCACTGCTGATCTGCCTTTCCTGTCACTATTACACAGCCTAAGGATTCCTGGGCATCAGTCCACCCTATTGGGCAAATTTCTTGCAGATCAACATGAAGATGAACTTTCGTGAATTAGTGCTGTGTAGATAAATTGATGATTTCATAATTCCCGATAATGATTTTACAGAATTTCTAAATTTATACAAGTAATTTCAAGCCCCCTATAAAACAGAAGCTGTAGTCAGAGCTCTGTGAACCTTCGTGTGTCACAGGCTAAGTGCACTAGGAAAAGAAAGGAGGCTTGGATCAAGGAAGACATTCCTTCTAGGTTAGGCGTGAGACCATTGTCTGGTAACTAAAGGTCACAAACTTGGAATGGTCAATTTGTTGTAGGTACAAGGACAGAAAATAAAATCTCAATGAGTTTATGTGTATAAGACTGCAAAATAATAAGACACAAGGCAGATGATTTGTTTCTTGACAAAATCATGCTAACTTGTGACATAGAAATTATTGCTTGAAACTTATAATGAACTTATGGGGGGGCTTGTAGCAGACAATGAATGTTTAGTGATGTACTTGTCTAAATGGAAAGACATGTAAACAACTCTGCTGTTATTCCTTAAGGCTTATCGATTCATGACATGGATTATTGCCTTAAACTTACTGTGAACTTACTGGAATGTAAAAGTGCTTAGAAAATCATGTAATCAATTACCCTCTCTTAGCGGTTCTACCTGATAGTTGTATGAGATAATTTTTAGAGAAAGTATAAATACTGTCTCCAAAACAGAAATAAAGGTTGTTGGAGCTTTTCTTTCTCTGCTTTGTCCAGAGCGTGTGTTTTTTTCTTCATGCATGTCTTTTTACCTTTTTCTCTTGCTTGAAGAGTTAATAAACTCTGAGCCTCTCACCCAATCAGTGAGGGGCCCTCCAGTCAAAGAAAAAAACACCTCAAGCAACTAACTTCTTTTTTTTTTAAATTTGTATATATGTTTTATTTTTAATTAAAATAGTTTTTTACTTATTTACTTTACATCCTGCTCACTTCCCCCTCCCGGCCACCCCCCCATAATCCTTCCCCTATATCCTCCCTTTCTCTTCTGAGTGGGTGGGGGCCCTCTGGGTATTCCCCCACCCTTGGACCCTTGGGGCCTTCAGACTCTGAACCACCAACCAAAGAACATACACAGGCTGGACCTAGGCCTCCCTCTCATATGTAACAGGTGTGCAGTTTGACCTCCATGTGGGTCCTGAACAACTGAAGTCGGGGCTATCCCAAAAGCTGTTGCCTGTAGGTGGGATATGTTCTTCTAGCTGGGCTGCCTTGTCTGGCCTCAGTGGGAGAGGATGAGCCTAGCCTCCCAGATTCCCTGCTGCTAACAGCAGAAGTTAATAACCAGAAACCAGTAAGAATAGTAAGAGAGTCACAAGGCCAGAGGTCATCAGCTTCTGGCCTTCATACAACGCTGTGTCCCACCTCAGGACCTAGAGGTTGGGGCTAGTCCCTGGCAAGAGATATGGATCTTAATCCTTCCCAAACTACTCTACTAACTGTAGATCAAGATCCAGACATTGGAACCTGCGGGGGGCCATTCTCATTCACACCGACACATGGCCTTTGATGGACTCTTCCTCAATAATGGATGTTGACATCACCAAAAAAAGATGAAGCAACCGGAGAAGTGACTGCCTAGATGATGCTAAGTCGTGAGGCAACTAGATCCCAGAAGATGGCACTCCTGCTCTTCCTTTCAACACCACTGAAATGTCCCAGGACAGAGCCCTGCAGTTTCCATCATGCAATTAATGTGTTGTTCACACCAAGTGAACCATGTTGGTTTACATGTAGAGTTCTGATTCTAGATTTCAGTGGCATATTACTTACCTATGAACAAAAATAAAATGAGGATCGGGACAAATTATTTCTCATTCTTAGAAAGCACATTATTTAACAAGAAGACAAAACCTGATGGATTCAAAGGCAACAGAAATGTCTGTTAGAAAATTAGAGAACACATGAGGTTGCTGGGTGTTGGGGTGCATAACATCTGTCTCACTGTGGCTAAGGAGGCAGAGACGGGTGGATCCTTGTGAGCTGGAGGCCAGTATATTCTACATAGCAAGTTCTAGGCCAGCCAAGGCTATGTCACCCGACCCTGTCTTTTAAAAGAATAAAACAAAGAAGAAAAGAAAAAAGAAAAATACACATCCTGCAGTATTCCAAACATCACATCTGGAGGCTGAAGCAGGAGGATTAACAGGAGTTTGAGGCCAGCTTCAGACATGAAGCGAGACCCTCAAAAATTTATTGCAATTATTGGTGGGTTGTTTTGCTATAAAGCAGCTCTACAATAGTTACTCACATCCGCAGATTTCATGGTTTCCCATTTTCTGATGACTTTGATTTCTTTTTCTTGGTCCCTAGAAATACAAAGGACAAGGAGTTCGGTTGCTGTTCCAAGTGTTAACTTTTCACAGGAAAACAAAAAACTGTCAAACGGGCTCTGAGCAGCATGGTTTTCTTTAACTAGAAGAAATCTGTGGTTTGAAGGCTGAGTTTAATGGAGACGTGAAGCAAGGTAGCTTAGCAACTACTTGAGGAGAACAGTTTTCAATTATTGGTAAGTCTGCATTTTTTGGCGAATAATTTAAAAGGAGGCGTATTCAAAATATATTCAAAACTGAGAATAGAACATGACCCTGGAAGGTTTGTGTGTGCACATAATTTATTCTCAGTACTGAAGACTGACTGTCAGGCTTCAGTGGTCCAGAATGAGGCTGGCTACCCAGCCCTCCTTTTACTTTGTAAGAGATTGTACCAAGTTGCTTCTAAGTATCTGTGTAGCCCAGGCTGGCTTTGAACTGCTAACTCTCCTGAACACCATCTTGAGTAACATTCTTAAGAGGAGGATTGTAGAATGACACGCTGCTTATACAATGTCCCCAGTGATTTCTGCATTCACACATACCACAGTGAGATGGTGACCAGGGGAGGGGGCATGAGGGGCACAAGAAGATGTGTGGGCAGAGGACACTGTCTCCTGCTTGTCACCTTTGTCAACGCTGAGGTGACATGTGCCCTTCACCCTCAGGAATCTGTGGGGCTCAGTTGCTGCTCTCACAGATGTTCAAGGCTCTTGTCTAAACGGCAGTCTTTGTGTATGTACGTGCCATTCTCCAGTACAGCCACGCTCTAAACCATACCTGCAGTACTTGTAAAAACTACATACAGTATGAACATTCCATGTGGCATTGCTGTGCTGTTTAAGTAACACTGACAGTGTACATGGTTAGTATTTTATTTCTGGATATCTTCACTCTGTGGTTGGTCAAGTTTGGTATTACATCTGTGGGTGAACCTTGAGGCTAGGAGAAAGAGGCGGCTGTACCTGAGTGAGCCTGAGCTGATAGTGTGTGAACACAGTGTTCACAAAGGAACCAGTGAATCACACTGAAGAGTGACATCAGTGTCAGCAAGGACAGATTACTTCTGTCCAACAAAGTAAAAAGAAATACAGGCTGGTGTGGAGATCGTCCCTTCAATCATGGAGGCAGAGATGAGCCCCCAGGAGGCAACAGTTTAAGGATGCCTTGGCTACATGGTAACTTCTAGGCCTGTTTGTGTTAGGTCTAAAAAAAAAAATCTCAAAAAAAACCAACACCAACCAAGTGAAACATTCTAAGAAGATAGTGAGGTACTCTGGAAACAACAGGAAAAGTTCCTCAGCCATACTGACAAGTTCAGAACTACCAGATTTCACCAGCGTTTGCTTACAACGGAGCATCCCAGGCTCTGTCAGTAGGGTATCACAGACAGGGGCCCACAGTGGGGCAGGTGTACAGTCAGCAGGGACTTTCTCAGTCATGGACAGATTCCAGAAGCCAGTGAGTCAGGATTCTGTTTGGTACAGCATGATATAAACCTCCTGAGTGTCCATGGGGCTGTGTCACACCCAGGGCTCCAAGGTATTTGCTACAGGCAGTAGTATAGGCCTTAGATGTAGAAGAAGGTAGGACATCACTGGCTGTCAGACCCTGTACATGCTTCATGTGTGTCCTTGCAGTCTGGTCGGTCTGAGCACAAGGGGTTTGAACTCCAAAAGCCTGTATCCCAAGAATGAAAGGAAGTAGCTCTACAGCCATTTACAGGAACTCCCCCGGGGTTGTTCTGTGTTTGAGTCTTGGAGGGAGATGATAATGTCTTCGGTAATAAAAAGCCAAAATGTTTAGCCCCTTTTAATTAACGGGAACGTTTTGAATTCCCAAAAATGTAGTTTTAATTGTGTGGTGAAGTGGATCATTAATGACACAATTCTCCACAAATGGGTTATACTCACTAAAGAGCTGGGGCACAGTCCTCAGGAAAGAACAGGTTATCGCATGTGTGTGGTGTGGAACTGTTTTGAGGTAAAAGGTCCAGTTATGATGTGGCTGGTTATTTTATGAGGATTACGACACCAGAATGCTTATTTGGCTTCTAAAGAAACCTGTAGGGAGGGGCTCACGACGATGCTCTCACTCAAATGTTCTTTTATTTTAGAAAAGTTATAAAATCATACTCTGGAAACCGACAGAAAGGCTACTATCCTCAATCACAGGGGTAACTTACTTTTGCTTTGTATAAGTGTTCTTAGTTTGATAAAGGGACACGAACGAGCATTTGGGCACTCTGCACACGCACAAACATGCACACATGCACACACTCGCACATGCAGGCACATGCATGTACACGCAGACACACACACCTAATATTCTACCAGCCTTACAATTGTGATTGCGGACATTGCAAATTCTTAATACAATAAATTTAAACCACGCAAAATAAGCAAGCAGCAATGAACAGGCCAGATGCTAGCCTGGACACATAAAGGAAACGTATATCAGACCTTCGTTGGTGGCAGTTTCTTATGGGAAAATACCTTGATTCCCAAGACAGACTTGCCAGATCTAACGAGGTATGATGAGAACTGCCCCATGTCCGGCTTAAGTCCCCGGGTGTGATCTTGGAGTCCTGCCCTCACACTGGTGAGACTTTAACCGTCCTATTGATGCACTAGGCTTGGGGTTCATTTGTTTTCTAACAGTTGTCATTCATCGTATGGCTCTGCAACCTTCATCAATGAAAATAAACCATCTTTTTTTTGTTGTTTTTTTGTTTTTGTTTTTTGAGACAGGGCTTCTCTGTATAGCCCTGGCTGTCCTGGAACTCAGAAAATAGACCATCATTTTTTTTTTTTTTTGAGACAGGGTTTCTCTGTATAGCCCTCAGAAAATAAACCATCATTACCACAGTAATATTGGTGCTGAAGACAGTAGCGGCTACACAGCACTGAACTAAAATGAGTCTTGCTGAAGACTACAGCATGAAGGACAGCTGATGGGCCAAGAGCAGTAAGCAGATGTCTTAGTTAGGGTTTTACTGCTGTGAGCAGAGACCATGACCAAGGCAACTCTTATAAGGACAGCATATATTTGAGGCTGGCTTACAGGTTCAGAGGTTCAGTCCATTATCATCAAGGTGGGAACATGGCAACATCCAGGCAGGCATGGTGCAGGAAGAGCTGAGAATTCTACATCTTCATCTGAAGGCTATTAGTAGAAGACTGACTTCCAGGAAGCTAGGATGAAGGTCTTAAAGCCCACACCCACAGTGACACACCTATTCCAACAGGGCCACACCTTCTAATAGTGCCAGTCCCTGAGCCGAGCAAGTACAAACTATCACACAGATGCAAAGTAAAGCCCATTCACTCAGGAACCGGCTTGGTTACTTTTCTTGTTAATGTAACCAAATATCGGAGAAGAAGCAACTCAAGGGAATAAGGGTTAATTCTGGCATGGCAGCAGCAGTGTGAGGTGGCTGGTCACATTTTGTCAGCACTTAGGAAGCAGAGAGCAGTCAGGAAGAAAGGCCAGCTTGTCAGAACCCCAAGGTCCACCCAGTCACCTCACTTCTTCCAGAGAGGCTCCTGGAGTCCCATCTGCGTTCCAAGTGTTTGAATCCATGAGCCTGTGAGGAACATTCCACCCTCAAAACACAATCAGAACAAACCCTTGCTATCTGCATTGCCATCGGACTAGACTTTACTGTCCATCTGTGTTGCATGAGATGACTGAGAGGCCAGAGATAGTAACTGAACGTGGACAGGGGTTGCAGACATGCCTCACTCTGCATCCCCAGGATTACTCTCTGCTCAGCAAACGTCAGGCCCACACAGCTTTCGTTCCACCAAGAATGTATCTGCTGCTTCCTGTTTTCACTGAAACACAGTTTTTGGAGAGCTGGCTCCGTGTTTAAGAGCAATTTGTTTCTCAGCAAGCATATCTAGGGGCTTACAACTACCCATAACTCCAGTTCCAGGGGATCAGACACCCTCTCCTAGTGTCCACGGGTACTACACACACAGCACATACTTACACAAACTCACAAATATGCACAGGTAAAAAAGATGTAAAGAAATCTTAAAAACATTCCAGCGTACAGAAGATATCAGTGAATATTCTACCTGTGATGAAAGTCTTAACCACCAAACTGTGGTTAAGCCACCAAGCACTAGTGAGGCAGGCTTGGCTGGCTGTGAGGTGGTTCCTGACAGGACTAGTTGGGAAAAAGACCTGCCATAAAGGTGAGTGGCACCACCACAGGACAGAAAAACAAAACAAAACAGCAACAACAAAAAACAGGGAGGGATCCAGCTGGGCACTAGGGTTGCCTTTCTCTCTCTGAGTCCCGCTCCCCGCTCCCTGGCAGCAAACAGTCTAAAGCTCCAGCACTACTGCCAAGCTGCTCCTGCCTGCACGGTCTCTGTAAACAACCATCCCTTAAGTCACTTCAGTCAGGCATCGAGTCACACCTGTGAGGCAGGTCATGAGCACACCTGCCACACCTGTGAGGAAGGTCACAAGCACAACTGCCACATCTGTGAGGAAGGTCACAAGCACACCTGCCACACCTGTGAGGAAGGCCACGAGCACACCTGGCACACCTGTGAGGCAGGTCACGAGCACACCTG